TTTCTAAAGCGTGTCTATTTTTGAAAACTACCGTAATCCTCTTTCGAATCCACATAATCCGCTTTTCGTTTACAAAGAGGACCCTGCTGAGGACAAAGAGGATCCTGCTTACAAAGAGAAGTGTAGATAGATTCGAGTTTTTTTTTATTGGCATAGCTAGACTACCGTAATCTTGTCTGTGATTTTGGTATCTTTTGTGAATCTTCACAGGTATAGATTGGATAAAACTATGGGTAAGTTTACGGTAATTTTCAAAAATTGATGTGTTTTAGAAACCACAGTATTCGGATAGATTTCTATTACAGTTTCTTATCACTTTAATTTAAGGATAAAAAGTCAAAGTCAAAGCCAACAAAGAATGACTTTCAATTGGCTTTGCTAAAAATTTGTTTCCTTTTTCAACCTTGATCACAATTTCCAGGTACCTATCAACAAAGCGCACTACGTGGGAAACGATCAGTTCGTCGTGCGTTGCTACAATGAAACGGTTAGAGTCGAATTATTATAAAGCCTGTAGCTTATCCACAAAAATCTTTATCCTACTGTAGCTTATCCACAAAATAAAAGACTATTTCCTTTAGTTGTACGCTTTCGTTGACGGGAAACCGCTGAAAGACGGCTCTCTCATTTACGAGCGAAATTTCGTCAACTTTGCCGGCTTATTTGACAAGGTAACTGAATAACTGAAGTCTTTTTTTTAAAGATTTTGCTAATTTGCTAATTTAGATAAAGCCACCAAAATCGTTACCCACCGGCTCCATTCTACCGTTTGGTGACGCGGACTCGGCATGTTCTTAGCTGAAAACTTATTTAACACGTTGACGACATTGTCACCTGATGCTGTCTGACACATATTCGTTCGCCTGGGACATTGTCACCTGATGTCAGGTGACAGTACCAAAATTTGATTTTTTTGTGCATATTTATGTTTGCTGATGATGGATATTAAATAAGCAAGTAGGGGGGTCTATCCCAAAACAGCGCCGCCAAAATAGCGCCGACCAAAACAACGCCAATGAAAAACGCCCAAAACAGCGCCGATGCAAAACAAAGTTTTTTTCTTTTACAATGTACACTCATTTTTTTTTATTAGCAGCTTTTAATTTTGATAATTTATTTAAAAATAACATGACCAACAACAATAAACGATAACAATTAAACGATGCATAAAAAACATTAAAATAGCATGAAATTAATAGTCCAAGAGACTCTGAAACATCATAACACTAGCGATGATGAACATAAACGGCTAGAGCTTTCAAGTGATCCGTAGTAGAAATAAAAAGTTAGTGAAAACGTTAAAAAACAGGCCGTAAAAGGAAAAAAATTGTTATTTTTGGTTAAAATCAATTTTATAAACGCTATCGCAGGTTTCTATGCGTAAAGCTTAAAAAAAATCGGATTCTCCGCCTTTTTTTACCCTAAAAACACAAAAAGTGGACAGAAAAAGTTAAAAACATCAAAGAAAAAGCAAAAGCAAAAATCTAAAAAATAATTTTTTTTGCTCGTCGCTGTTTTGGGCGTTTTTGCATTGGCGCTGTTTTGGGTGGCGCTGTTTTGGTCGGCGCTGTTTTGGCGGCGCTGTTTTGGGATAGACCCAAGTAGGGTAGTATCTATATTCGACTTGGTCCCGGAAAATGTCGATTTAACCGTTGATTATTAAAATTTTAATTTTTTATAACATAATAGATATATGTTAGGTGTCAGGTGACATTTTTTGTCGAAAAAAACAACGTTGTCCCATGCGATTGTTTGTGCAAAAACGCCATTGTCGTCAACGTGTTAACCTTTAGATTTTATTCAACATATTCAAGATTGATAATAAAAGATATTCAGCTAAACCCATCGATCGTTATCCTCGTCCTTGAGTCGACCTCGTTGAATCAATTCCGAAGACATGCACCCGAGACTCTGGCATTTCTACAGGAGCACGACTTTGTCACAATGAACATGTACAATAAGGTGAATTTACCCTACATAATATACAAAGACAGATAAAAAATAAAAGATATTCAGTTCCAATTGAATACAATTGGAAAGCAAAACAAGCAAAACAAGCAAAACAAAGCCAAAATCAAACACACAAGCCGATCCTTTTGACCGAGAGAGAGGCTTTCTTTGTGCGGGCGTAATCGCTCACGATCTGGCGCACCGTCGGGATAGATAGGGACGGCCAGAGATCGATGCCGAATGCTTTAAAAAATTCGAATTAAAAAAGTCGGATTTTTTAATATGGCATTGACGATAACTTGGATCTGAAATGTTTACAAGATCTAAACATAAACTACACTTTTACAGTATCTTTTTACACAACAATACACAATGTATCATTCAGTCAGAATCAATTTTTAGATAGCCGACAACTCGGCCGTGAATCTTTTCCCAATATTGACCGGCCGGCCGATTCAAATGGGTTTGTGAAAGAGGATTTTAAGTGTTTGAGCCTATCTTTGGCTGCAACTTGCAAGTATGGCTGCTATTTTCACAATTGAAACACTTTCAAGTCACAAAACAATCACAAAGTGTTTTGTAAACAAAAATGCATCACAGATCCGGACAATCCCGATCCAGAGGACACCTTTGTCGACCTCGAGAATGTCACCTTTCTGTGGGATTTGATGAAAAGTTGGTTTTCAATCATAGATTCCTTAAAAATTAGCCGATTCAGGAAGAGGCTGTGTCACAATGATGAACGATGATATTGCTGATGTTCGACGGGGGCTTTTCCATTATCCGAATCACACTTTTACGGTAGCAGATGCCAAAGATTAACACAATTCAAACAATCTGCGTATTTATTCTAATTCTAATAGACTCAAATAGCGCATGGGCTTCTATTAGAGGTCCCCTTAGGCCCCGCCCACTCACGTCAGGAGAAAAAGTTGCACAAAAAAACATTTTAATTTTTAACCTGACTATTTGGTGTCAAAAGAAAAAGAATTTTGCACTCTATTATTTGATATAAATAAATACCGTAAATACTATAATAGTACCCCACCCCCTTGTACAGTCGCGTAGTCGCAAAAGTTTTTTAGTATTTCATTTTTTTCAAAGCGTCCGTACTTTCAAAAAATACGTCCTTAGTATCAAAAAATGGCTGAAACTCAGGACTATTTTTTGATACCTAAGCGCGCATTGTAGCATAAACCAGTGTTGAGAAAAACACGTTCAAAGCTAGACTACGCAACACCCCACACCGTCATTATGGGGGTGGGGTACTATTACAGTCATCACGGCATATAATCTTTTGACACCAAATTTATGGCAATAGGTTAAATTCATATTAAATTAAATTTTTTGTGCAACTTTTTCTCCTGAGGTGAGTGGGCGGGGCTTAAGGGGGCCTTCTAATCGAAGCTGATCAAACCCCGCCCACTCATCTCAGAGACAAAAAGTTGCACCAAATTGCGGGTTTTTAAATAAAATTTCTGAAACTTTATCAGAATTTGCACATTCCATTAGGCGTATCTATAGAAAGCAAACAAATTTGATTTGCTTTACTCATTGCTGAGAAAATTTTAAAACTTTGAAAATAAATGATGCGTAAATTTTTTTTAAACTTTTTGACTTTTCTTAGCAATGAATAAAGCAAATCCAATTTTTTTTTATTTCTATAGGTGCGCCTATGGAATGTGCAAATTCTGACAAAGTTTCAGAAATTTTAGTTAAAAACCCGCAATTTGGTGCAACTTTTTTGTCTCTGAGATGAGTGGGCGGGGTTTGATCAGCTTCTATTAGAGGCAATACGGTAAATCCGGTAGTGTTGTTTTTTTTTGGTGTGTACCTCAATCTCTACCGTAAACTGTTGAAAATTGCTTTCTCAGGGTTTCCCCGTTTCACCCACCGATTTCTACCTTCGCCCAACTCATCTTTTCAACACGAAACATCGGATCTCCTCCGGGAAAACTTGCCTCAATGATGGAACGGTAGGAAATAAAAATTATTCAACGCATAACTCTATTTTAAATTACTTACCGTATTTATTCTAATAGAAGCTCATTCGCTTCTATTAGAGGTCCCCTTAAGCCCCGCCCACTCACGTCAGGAGAAAAAGTTGCACGAAAAATTTAATTTTTAATCTATGGCCATAAGTTTGGTGTCAAAAGAAAGAGAATTCTGCACTCTATTATTTGACACCAAACTTATGGCCATAGATTAAAAATTAAATTTTTCGTGCAACTTTTTCTCCTGACGTGAGTGGGCGGGGCTTAAGGGGACCTCTAATAGAAGCGAATGAGCTTCTACTAGAATAAATACGATAATTGGATTACAAATACGGATAGCTCTATTTTGACCTACCGTAAATACTGTAATTGAACGGCACCCGTTCCGTCGCGTAGTCTAACTTCTTTTTAGAAAAGAAATTTTTTCTCAGACCCTAGATTTTTCTCAACTACACTTTTGCTACCAAAATATACTGGATTTCAAGGGCTATCATTTGACATTCAAGCGCACACTGTAGCATAAAGCAGCGCGGAGAACGGAACGTGTAAAGTTAGACTACGCGGCAATACCCCGTCATTATAGAGGTGCCGTTCTATTAGAGTATTTACGATAGCTACAGTTTTAAAGTTTTAAGAGTTGAAAGATTGGATCAAAATCTTGCTTTCCAGAGTCTTGCTGCTGAGTACCTCTCCTACATGCGCCATTTCTCGTCAGCTTTCAAAGATGCTTGTCATTTTTCGTTTAAGTAAGAAATGATTAGATGTATCTATTTTAATTATATCTATAATTGGATATAACTTATCTATTTTCTAAGAATTGAAATTGTTCATGTAAAACATTCTAGTTTCATCACGTCACTCACCCACGACGATCCGTCGATGCTGGGGACGATCGATCAGGAGCTGAAGTAAAACTATTAGATATCTAACTATAAAATGCAATATAATACATGAATTTCAATTTCTCAAGCTTAATTGATATCAACTTTATTCTCTAGACGAGCACTGGAAAGCCTCTTCGCGCAGGATATCGAGAAATCGACGACTTTTGTAATCATGGGAGATCATGGGAATCGAATACATCAGATACAAGTATGCCAAAAAAAATTGGATAAACTTTGAGATTTCTAATTTGATTACTAATTTGATTTACAATTACTTTTTACAAGTCCACTATAGCCAAGTGAAAACTTGAGACTTTACTCGATAGTTATCAAAAATTACAATTTTTTCGAAAATTTAAAAGACTTTTCTTTTTACAATATCTTTTAGGCTATTTGTGCCTGTATTCTTTAAATATTATAGAAATTTTGGCATAAAATTCTGGAACAAAAATCGTTCTAGAGAACGACAACGGGTCGAGTGGAAGAACGATCACCCCTTTTCTCGATTCGTTTACCCGACGAGTGGAAAAGAAAAAACGCGAAAGCGCACAAAAATTTGCGAACAAATGCCAATCGGTTGGTGAGATTTCTAAAAATTAAATCGACAACCCTCCAGCCTTGTCACCAATTTCGATCTCCACAAAACTTTGCGACACTTGGCACTCTCCGGGCGGGAAGATCTTGAGCCACGTGGGTTTACTACAAATGTAGTAATAGAATTGATGAAAGATCTAATATTATTCATACCTAATAAACTAGTAAATCTGGGAATAGACCGATCAGTATTATCACATTGTTAGAATCTGATACAAATTCTTCAAAAAGATTGGCAAAATCAATGTAGCACTTGGAAGGCAACAATTTGAGCGCAACTATTCTTTTTATATATTATTTCCCATCCAAATTATATGATTTTTAGCTAAATACGGTGTGAATCTTTTCTCTCAAATGCTCAATTCGACTCGTGGATGTGAAGAAGCGGAAATCCCTGAGAATTTCTGTCTTTGCATGGAACAACAAGAAAATAAATCGCTTCGATTGACAAAGTTTGTATAAAAACTAAAGAAAAGGCCTTGAAGATATTGTAAATATCGTTTCTTTTCCAATATCGGGGAGCGGTTCGATTATCGGGGAGCGAAAGGGAAATAGCTCCCCGATATTGGAAAAGTACCTAAATATCACTTGTTATACTTTTATTTTTCAATTTTATCTTTTCTTTTGCTACAATCTTTTGGTGATTGCAAAATAGTCAATCAAACAAAAACTTGCATGTTCTTTGTGCTCAAAAATGAAAACATTGCCCTCAAATACTCACTTTTTTCTTGGCTGCAACAAGTTTGTGTTTACAAAAATGAATAACCGAGTGCACCAGAAAGAGTGCGTTTCCATTTCTGAACATAAAGTACACTCAAGGGCTAATGAATCTAAAAGAATTTAGTGAAACCGATGTCTACAAGAAATTATTCGCATCACTCTCCGAAAGAATCCTCTCACTTCCTTGTGTCAAATCGATTCGCCCACATTTCCGATATCCGACGTTAGAAGTAGGTAAAATGAAGTGAAAAATTCTATTTTTATATTTAATCAACTGTTTACTGTACTTTAGGTGTTTTCTCTTAATCAAATGGTTCTACATGGACTTCGGCATGAGAATCAGTGAGTAAAAGATCCGAAAATTAAATGTAAAAACTTGCTTCAATAAGAATATAAAAACAATTTGTATTTTGCATAGGGTAACTGAGTACAGTATCTTTTGAGGCCAATACTTTGCTTAAAAGTTTCTTTTAGATGGGATTCTGTGAAGAATTACACAAGTGCCTCCGATTTTGAGTGGATTGAGTTGGGAATGATTGCTGATATGCACAAAAGATATGATGGCTTTGAGTTGAGGTGAAAGAGTAGACATTGGCAAGATGTAAATGACATCAACATGCTCCTTTTTTTCAGTTTTGGTCTCATTGCTCGTTATCGTCATCGATTATCGACGGATCTCTACGAATTGAGCGAATCGCCGAGAGTACATGAGAGAACGGCCATTTGCAATGCGCCGACAGTCGATGAGGTGATCTAATAAACGATACAAGTACCGTATTTTACTAGTAGACAGATCGATCACCGGCTAGATTTAAAAATCAAAAATGCCCTAAATCTCAACCATTTATCCACCAAACTACAAAAACGATTACAGATCTGTGAAATGTGTTACTACGACAACCTCGTATCGGCAAGAAACGAGCAACAAGTCATCTAATATTTCGTGCTTTTTCTATCAATTTCCCAAAGTCCTTCTACCAAATTCTTTCGCCGGTGCTCTCTCATAATTACGGGTATCATTATTGTGATCACCATTTTTCCGGATCTGAAAGTGGCAGCTAACTTTGTAATAAAGATTTCATGTTATTAATGTTAAAATCGCAGTTACATCTGATTATTTTTAAGGTCACATTCACATCTACAAGCCATTGCCACAAAAATTCCCAGTACTTCGCCTCAAAATTTTATCAAAGTTTCATCCAAGATGAGGAAATGAAGTGAGGCAGTAAAAATTCCAGGGAGATTGCCAGAGGCAAGCTAAACCCCGCCCCTTTCCGCCGGCCCCTTGCCAATGGCAAGCTAAACCCCGTCGCTTTCCGCCAACCCCCTGCCGATGGCAAGCCCCGCCCCTTTTTTGAAGCCCCTTATAAGCGGCGGTTTTTGCTCATTTCTTCATCGTTCTTCTTTCAACGAAAAGATGGCTCGAACTAAGCAAACCGCCCGCAAAGCATCGAGTGGAGGAAAGGCTCCCCGCAAACAATTGGCCACCAAGGCTGCCCGCAAGTCAGCCCCAGCAACCGGAGGAGTCAAGAAGCCTCATCGCTACCGCCCAGGAACTGTCGCTCTCCGAGAAATCCGGCGCTACCAAAAGTCAACTGAGCTTCTCATCCGCAAGCTTCCATTCCAACGACTCGTCCGGGAAATCGCCCAGGATTTCAAGACTGACCTCCGCTTCCAATCGTCTGCTGTGATGGCCCTTCAAGAAGCTTCTGAATCGTACCTCGTCGGTCTCTTCGAAGATACCAATCTGTGTGCAATCCATGCCAAGCGTGTGACGATCATGCCGAAGGACATCCAACTTGCTCGTCGTATCCGTGGTGAGCGTGCGTAAGCGCTGAACGATAATTCAAACTAAACCCCAACCCAACGGCCCTCTTTAGGGCCACAAATCATTTGGGAAGGATAAAACTTTAAAGATCTAAACTAATTTTAAGCAAAGTTTGTTAATTGAACTAAACTTCAATGACTTTGACTTCAGTGACTTTCTCTATTCGTTTGTGATTATTCAAACCAAACAACTTTTTTCGGGGCCATGACAATACGGCACCGCCATTCGCGCACACGTGGAAAAACGTCTTTTACGCACAAAGCAAACAATGGGTTCCCAATTTCTGTTTTTTGGAGTGAAGCTATCAAGCGGAAATTTTTACAGTAGATGGGCATAGTCGAGCGAAACATGCTGTAAAAATTTGGGGCCAATCGAAACGATGTAGGCCATTTGGTGCAACTTTTAGCGCTTGAAGTTGTGGGCGGGACGTGTGCAAAAGACGTTTTTTCACGTGTAAGCAAATCACAATTGTTGTATTGTCATGGTCCCAAAAAAGTTGTCTGGTTTGAATAATCACAAACGAATAGAGAATACCTGTTTCTCTCTAAGATACAGTACCTAGAATTTTAGTATGAATTTGTTATTGCTAATTCTGTTTTTGACTATGATATTGAAACTGACCACCAACCTCTTCTGAGGCTGATGAATTCGGTGTGACAAAGTTACTATCTCTAAAATTGTACAGTTAATCCTAGACTTTTTCTTATTCTTTGAGCTATGTAAAGGCATTCTCTCTGGTGCACTAATCATTTCTATAAACGATTTGAGTGCATCAGAAAAGATGTGTTTACAAGTTTTTGAGCATAAAGGAGTTTTCCGGAGTTTTCAATGAGTATGATGAAATTTGATGATTCGCCTAGGTATAAAATTGTTGTAAAAATGAATCCAAATAACGTACGAGAGTCAAAAAAAGTTCCTTTTTAAAAGCAATACGAAAATTGTGCAGAAAATCGGCTTCATCACCCGATTTCATCGACCATTTCATTCGTTTCCGAAGGAGCGGAGGTGACGAGAATCTTCAGCCATTCCTTCGTTTCAGGTAAAGGATGATGTAAGTTAAATAAAGATTTAGATTGAATAAAGTTTATCTCTAGGATAATATCCGTAAAAGAATTGTTTTTCGCTTAGAAATCTCAATCTCTAGACGTCAACTGGACGATTTGCACCCGCTTTTGCGCTTTTGGCGATCCGTTGATGTCAAATCAAAACAAAATTTTATTCCATAGCAAGAGTATTCAATAGTAAGAGTGCATGGAATCGTAGCACAAATAGCTTTAAGAACATACTGTTGCTCAGTTGTATAACCCTGGAGTGAGATGTCAAGTCCCTTTCTCCATACAGATTCATCAGATGATTGTCCATCGGCGTAAGCATTGCAGAGAATCTTGTCAACCATCTTTGCAACTCGCTGAGCAGTGGATCGAGGCCAGGCAGAGCGAACTTCATTGCGGAATGTGGGATCATTAACGAAAATCCATTTCCATCGGTCGTGCCGAACACCCCGTCTGACAGAATCCCGCATTCCCTGTTTTCTAAGATTTAAGAAATTGAAAATTAAATAGAATTTAAATCTAAAGGCCTTAAATGTTAAACTAGAACAACTCAAATATCAAAACTTTCATAGCTTCTAGAAAGAAGCATGAGTTTAGTGGAACTTAGATTATAATATTTGAAAAGTTCAAAAATGTAATCAGAAAATAACAAACTCCTCAAGCCACTCGATAACACCTCTCGCACTTAGCATTGACTTGGATTCAAGGAGTTCATTGTTGGTACGTTTCTAGAATATTGGCATTTTATCAAGAATTTATGGTATTAAAGAACATACCAATTGCCTTTCTAGGCTTTCAGTCTTCGAAGCCATTACCCTACGCTCATCGTTCGCCTCTGCCAGCTGCCTAACCTTCTTCAGACACTCCATCTCCCAATTGTCTCCATCACTAAAAAAAGATAGCATAATATGCAATAAATTATACTATTTAAATACCTTTCTTCGTCCGAACTGTCGTTTTTCTTCCTCTTGGACGACATATTGAAATTACCTAAAAATGATTAGCAATAAGAAAGGGAGCGAACACTAAAGTTAAAGTTACTATATATCAATGAAATGAATGGTAGAAATATCAGATTTAAGAGTAGTTAAGTCTAACTTCTATAAAATTCATCAAAGTAAAAGCTAGGGATAAAAATGAGGATTTGTTTAATATGAAGCCATTACGCCAAAACATAAAGTGCAGCTCGAAAAAAGTATCGACTACGCGACTGTACGGGGGCGGTGCCCTTCTATTAGAGTATTTACGGGAGTAATTTCTTTGGAACTAATCGCTCCACAATTATAGAACCAGTAAATATAAGTTCCCATAGAGTAACAGGTAGATCTAATAGAATCATTTAAAATTAGTAGATATTAACAGTTGCAATCTTCAAATTAGTAGGTTCAAAATTGGTTCAAAAGACAATCTTCAAACACGCAATTTGTATTCATCCGTATTGAAAGAAAGTTCAAACTCTTTAGATGGCATCATCTATTCAAAGTTGATCGGAACTCTTATCAAGATGGAGCCATTCAACATCGACAATATGATGGGCTGCCTTTTTCAACATTTGAATTGCGAAAGTCAACATTTAACGATAAGATAAAATTAACACTTAAAATTTGCGACAGAAATTTAGATTTAACATGAAAACGTCTAGAAAAACACATTTTTCTCTCTGAAGGCCATTCTCTACTAGTTTTGAAAATAATTTGAAGCGATAAAGCCTGGGATTTCTTAATGAATTTGCTTTGGACTCAAAAATGTCCATGAAAATGATGATTGCTTGAACTAGTTTGTTCTACAGCTGAAATCTTTAGTCAAAAAGCTGATTATTACATGACTTTTCACTAGCAATAAATCATAAAAGAACTTTTTGAAATCTAGAAAAATTTAGCCATTCATCCAATAATTGTGGTCTGACCCTGGTTTGGCTTGGCTTAGACGTTGAGTTTCAGGCACTGTATCAGTGAAATCTTACTCAGTGAGATGAAATCAGTGAAATTTCTGGTGCGATTGACTGCGTCCCTGCGAGTGGGTGCAAAAAACAATCGGAAAATCGGAAAATTGTTGAATTCTCGTATTTCAGAGAAACGACGTACAGTGCGTCGATCTCTTCTGTTCTGTTAAACAATGGCAGCGAATTGTTGACCGACTCACTCGAATACTTCACTGCGCACAATTTTTCAGGTACAATATGCTACAAAATTTGAATTTAAAGCTTCCTACCAGGAAACAATACTCAGAATTTCAGCTCTACTTTGAAGCTGTGGTCGAGATGATTCTCGAGGAGAGTGCATATCCAGTAAAACTCAGAAATATCTAGCTATAGCGTAACAACTTGTAGCGTAATACTTTGCAAGTAAACCCTTCAAAAGCCGTTCCAGTTCTCAAAATATCTCTACGATATGGCCGCCACATCGGGTTTCTGGTTGAAAATAAGCGAGCGCAAGATGCCGTAAAAAATTGGGCCCAATCGAGGCAATGTAGGCCATTTCCTCCAACTTTTAGCGCCTGAAGTTTCTGGGAGGGGCCTGTTTTGCGCAAATCTCGTTGCGGTATTGTCATAGTCCCGAAATTTTTACGCGCAATGACCCTCGAAGCATAAAAATGAATAAATGAACCAAAACGCTTGGTTTTGAACGAACGACAAGTTAGCAGGTTCTCCATTCTACGACACATGTTTGAGGAGCATCAGTTTGCGGCCCTTAAGAGGCCCGTTGGGTTGGATGCTATAGCTTGACGAGGTCATTTGCCTCTAATCAGTCTCATCGTCCTTGGACTGGACAGATTTGTGCTTTGGAAGGAATGGGACCACGCTCTCCTTGCGGGAAGCCGACACCATGGAGTAGTTTATCCAGCTCCACGTCCAACTAGCATCAGACGTCGTGGGCTACTAGTGACCTTCTGGTTATCACGAGCTGCATTGCCGGCCAATTCGAGGATTTCCGCGACGAGATACTCCAGCACAGCGGCGAGGTAGATCCACCGATGCGCCGCGCCCTCCATATTGAATTCATCCGACCGGGAACACGATCCCGGCCCGAGCTGCCCTTGCTTCTTTCCCGACCCGCGCCGAGCCATTTTTTGTTGGCTGAAGATTTCGCTTCTCTTTGGTAACGAAGGAGACAAGGCTAAAGAAAAAAGGGGCGCGTTATATAGGGTCTGGTGTGAGGTGGCGGGGTTTAGCTTGGCAAATTCAACGTCTTTCAACGTCAATGGCAAATTCAACGTCTTTCTATTGTTTTTCTTTACAAACGTGACAAACCAATGAATCTGTAATCTGTAGAACTTTATTGCATCTCTTGTTTGTAATTTTTGTTCCTAATTTTACACAAATTGTCAAAACGAAGCAAATTTAACGAGCAAAATGTAGATGAAGAACATTAGGCCTTTGTTTGAAGCACAGCTGCAGATCTGAGAAAATTTGATTACTAAGGGGTGTCATTTGAGAATTTCTACCGTTTTCAGTTCGATTTCACTGCGAATGCGATTCGGTTCGAGTAAACGAATGAAATCGGTCACCGGGCATTCCGTTGAGCAATTCTTCAACCGCAGTATTTGTGGATCGCCAAGAGTGGCATTTCGGTAGAACATCTGAAAAATATTGCGTGTCTTGTCCTTTGTAAAAGTAAAAGAGAAGCTTTAGCTTCAAAATAAGGTCTTGAAAGCTGCAAGTCTAGTACACTATTATTTGGGATTCAGTATGCATCCTGTGACTATGCTTTACAATGCAATGTCATTCAGTTGAGTGGCAATGTCATTCAGTGGCTTGTTCAGCCTAGTTTTTTGTCGGTTCATCAATACTTCTACCACAATATTAACGCTCAAACAGCAGATTCAGGAATCTTTGATGAGAGCTGGTCAAGAAAGGCAAAAATAGCCGCTCCGTGGTTAAGTTTCTATGTGTTTCTTATTCTTATTGGATGCAAAATAAAATTATCTACATTTTGCATACTTTAAGAAAACATTAAAACAGAATTTGTGTCGAGAAAAGCTCAGTTGACCTCTTTTTTTAGTCCTTTTAGCCCTTTTTTTTTGCCATTTTCTCATCCCAGCTTTGTTCTAAACGACTCCAAAAGATTCAGCAGATAGGTAATTTTTTTCTACATCCAATGAAAATAGACACAAACACAAATAAACTTAACCGTAAATGCATTATTTTGGTTGGCGCTATTTGTACACGACGCTGTTTTGACCAGCTCCCCTCTTTATAGTGAATAACGAGCGCAATCAATAATCGAGCGAATAACGAGCGCAATCACAATCTAGCAATCAACCTTCTTCTAAAGCGTGGAACTTTTTCTTTCACACTTTAGAAAACAAAAGTTGTTTGCTAATGCAGAAAGTGTTGCCGAAGTCTTTAGTTTCTGGCGCGGTTTCCATTTCGTTTTTTCATCCACCTGCACATAAAGATCATTGGCCTCGTCGCGAACAACTTCCACAAAGAAACAGCCGGCGAATGGGACCAATTGATTGTCTGTCACCCCCATCGCGTGCATCAATGAGGCCACTGTGCCATCGTGCTAAATCAGTAGGTATTGTAAGTTGCACTTGGATTCTACTACGGCTAAACTATTGTAATTGTCAACTAACATCCCAAATCTGATTGTGAGTTCACATTTGAGTTTCTTTTCAATTTTAGTTTAGACTTTGATTGCTGTCTTGATTGCAATAATTGTCCTTCGGCCAAAAAACGACCGAGAAAACAAAGGTGGAATTTTCACATGTCTGCTCACTACCGTACTGTCTACTGTCTGTTTAACCGTCTGCAATAGTAGTACTGTAGCCTAACCAGTTCCAATACGGTTCCAATACGGTTCTTTTTTGGATCTAATACGGTTCCAATAAGGTTCCAATACGGTTCCAATACAATATTTGCCTGTTCACCAATATTTCTGCACTCCTTCTCTTCCTGAATCCCCTCACCGATGAATAAAGCACGGCTTTCGGCGTCTTCTTCCCTCACTTCCACCTCTTCAATCCTTGTCAACCAATCATTCAACAAATACCTGAATTCACTTGTTTTCGATTCCTCATTTCTCCTACCCTCCGCGAAATCTCGCTTTCTTAAAACTATTGAAATCCTCCATCCTTGACAAGCGTTTCAATTCCCGAATCAAGTTCAGCACTTTTTCCCCTTCCCAACTTGTGTACACCCAATCGGGTTGCGGCAATGAATGCATAATCTGAACTCTTTCTAATCACAACATTTCTTCACTCCCTCAACCTCTTTATCCACATCATACAACTTCTTGACATTCGCAAACGATACATTCATCCCAGTTTCCGCACTCAACCAATCGAAAAGCCCGCCATACTTTCTACAGAAGCTTTTTAGTTCTTTTAGTTCAATTTCTTTTGCCAAACTTGTCCATTCTCATTTCCAATCGATGAAAATCTCGTTTTCGAATCGCTTCATAGTTTGGGCAAAAGACACCAGTCGGTTTAAGAAGCTAGAAAGAAAATTTTTGATTGATTTTTCATATTTTCTTACCGGATCTTCTCTTCCTTTTCCATTTGTATGCATTGGAGTGGGTTGCCATTCAGTACTAGCATTCCACCTAAAAAAAAAGCTTCAATATTGACTAACATCTAAAGAATAAAAATTAGGCTGATTTGACGTTCATAAAATCACTTCTAAAGCCACTAGAATACGCACAAGACTAACCAGACCCAATTTTTCAGGTATCCCAAGAATCAATAAACAAATTTAACGCAATTTCGCTAAAAATTTGCAATTCTACGTCTTTCCATTAAATTTGTATATCGATTTGCCGGGTAAAGATACTTTTAGAGCTTTTTTTACAACTCACACTCGATTCCCCTCAGCCGGAAGAGCCCGGCCATCACCGCTTGCCCAGTCTCCATTGCTCGTTCCGAGTCCGACGATTGCACAAACACCTACCATAAAAACTCTATAAGTAGCCAATGGGCTTGTCATTTTTCAACCCCTCCAAAATCGGCTAACCGAAAAAGTAGGTAAGGCCCAGATAAACCCAAAAACTCATTTTTTTGCATAAAAACCACTTTACGTTATAGCCCTTGACCTAAAAGGCGCAAAAAAACGCATTTAAAAGTTAAATAATTTTCTTACCTTCTTAATTTTCAATTTTCTTACCCCGGAAAAATTCCCACATAAAATTTTTTCGAAAAATCATTTTCAAAATAGTGTTCAAAATGTTCGGAATTTTACTGCCAACCCCAGATTGTTCATTTTTATGCTCAAATCTTTCGATAGAAAGATCACATTATGGATTAAAAGTCAATATTTCGCAAAACTCACCTCTTTCCTATTAAAATCTCTCGCGAATAGCTGTCCAGCATAACGTTTCCGAAGGAATGTGCCCAATTCAAAGCCTTGCGAAATGCCCAACTAAAAGAATCAATATTAACAAAAAGAAACAAAATAGAATAAAGTAGAAAATCTGTAGATAAACTTTTTAAAAAAAAAGCACATTTGTGAGTTGTTCCCATCCGCGTGGCCACGCTTCCTCTCCATTTTTGTCATTCGGATAGGGAAGTCGCTCAGGAGCTCGATCTCCGTGTCTCCAAACGGCCAACAAAAAGGACTAACTCTAGAAAAACATTGAGTTCGATTTTAAATTCAATCTAAACATCTAAACATCTCAAAATTGTTGATCCAAAAGTTTAACCTGCACTGACTCCACTCAAAAATAGAGACGAAACAATAGATAAAAACATTTTCAGCGAATCATAGAAATCCTTTCAGTTCTAGTATTTTCTTCAAGAATCAAGGAATGAAAGAAAATGTTGGCGTTTCTCGGCGTCGAATTATCTGGTCGACTAGCTAATGTCGATGCAAATCAAGTCTGACCGCCCGAGCCCCAGCCCAGTAGACAAGTGAATCGAGTTACGACATTCACTCGCTGCGACACGAAAAACTTTCGACAAACGAGTGAAACGTGAATAGACTTTTGTCATCTGTGCTTTGTTTTATGATCCTAATTCTCTCTTCAAACGAGCACATGCCGCCCCGAAAATGTGCACATTTTGGAAAACGACAGAGTAATCCAACTCAAAAACCTTATCTTACCCAATCTGCTAGGCTTGATATTTTTAAAATTTTACGAATTTGGGGGCCGGACGTCGTACGAAACTGAACGTAACAATTTTATTTTCAAAGTAACAATTAACCGTGACTGTAACCAAAAGCAACCCTAAGTGCGGCCGCCTGCTACTTAGAGGGATTGGATATTACGGCGGACAAGCGCCGAAGTTCCAATGTACTATAATTCAGCTAGTGTCGTCTTTGTTTCTGAAACTCTATGCATTTTGGATAATAAATATTTATTTTAATCTAAAATAAACCTTGAGTAGTAAATGATTTGAGGCCATCAAAAATAAAAAAGAGGAAAAGTCCTAGAAAGAGTTTGATCTAACCTAAAAAATAAGTGAGTTGATCAAAGAACAGAATGCAGCCATACCGGAAACGTGACAATCAGAAAAGGTTTTTATTAGAAAAAGTATTAGACTAGAAATACTGGTTACGTTCTTGCTAAAACAACGTTTCTCAAGTAGGTGCCACCGCAAAGCGGGGAATATTCAGGATACATAAACCTATTGGGAACAAAAGAGTGAACTTATTACAAAAGGATTAGCAATTAACAAGCATTCAAAATCAGGTACCAAAGATGCCACAGGAGCTTAAGGCTTGAATCCTTCGAAATCTTTCTTGGTGGCATTGAAAGCTTGCGCGAAAAGTTCTTTCTGCTTTTGCAAGTGGGTGTATTTGTTGCCTAAACAAATAGCTTTGAAAAACCTCATTGACTAAATAACGAACCAGTAGCTGGAGAAGCCGATGGGTGTCGTCCGGCATATTTAATTCCCCTTCCTTCTCTAGCAAGAAGCGAGTTGAACCTATAAATAAACAACATTGGATGAACATACACTTAAATACACATGTTTTAGCTTCTAAAAGGTTTACCGTAGTTGAATGAACGCCCAAGCACCCATATTTGTGTGTTCTTCCTGGGCCCAGTATAGTTCGGCTTGTGGGTATTTGCGGCACTCAGCCTAAATCCCAAATAAAATAAATAGCAAACAGACTTTTGATTACTTGAATCAAATCATATGGGAAAGGAGAGATTTTTTCGACACGAATCAGGGCCACATTATTTTCCTTTCCAATGTGTTTGCGAGCATTAACCAAATCGTAGTGGACTTTGCCTAAAAAATTTTATTTGACAAAACAAGATTTTTAAAAACCCGTGCAGAAGACAATTCTTTGGACGTGAGCTGGATTGTGAGCAGCACTCCCACTTTCAGAAATGACACGCTAAAAGTTCTTAGTTGTATTTGTACAGTTGGCGAATATACCTGGAAGTGAGTCCCTGTTGCAAAATCTTCCACCAGCGATCTAGCCATAGGGTGGCGAAGCAACGATTTTGGTGACATCACAATAGCCGGTATACGGAATGGCATTAGAACCTAAACACAAAAAAATAGTTGAATGTTTACAACCGTTTACTTGACACCTCAAAAGATTGTAGATGTTTGCTGGGGTGGTGCAGTCAACAACGATCCAATTTGTGTCGTGGAGCTGCTGAGCCTCGAAAGTGGGTCCAAATGCAATTTTCTAAAAAAATGGCCTTAAATAAAGCAATTCGAGAGAGGCTTACGTCCAAATCAATTGATCATTGAGTAGCCAATTTCGAAACCGAGGACAGCATATTCAGAGAGCGAGGAGTTGCACACAGTGTACTCAGCTTGTCCTTCACGAAGATCGCTCAACGGATTGTAGACCTTCTCGTCAATCTTTTGATCGTGAAGCACGTGATGTCTAAAGATAGCATTACGAATAAGCAAGGAACTTTTTTACCTGTGCGAGAAGGTTCTGCGCTCCACATCTTGCCCACTCAATCTAACGTGAATACCCTAAGAACACTTTTCAACCAAAGATCTCAATAATACCCCGAGGAGGAGTGATCCAAAAGCAAGGGCCTCTCCAACCGTCCAATCAACCGAATTATTCTTCAGGGTACGATGAGAATTTGTCAATGGTCAAGTTCGAAACTTCGCTTTCAATTCCAGTTGAAAGCAGCTCAATAATTTTAAAAATTGAAACACTTTTGGTATTTACCTTCAATGGATCCATTTTCTTGGAGAAATTCTTGGAGAAATCATCCCATGGCGAGTCCAACCAATCGCAGTTTCTAACAAAGGTCACCTAAAGCAAGTTTAATTCAGAAATTATAAACCAAGCAGCCTTTTGGGCCTTTTCCTATGCATCCTCAAGAATTTGTCCGTACTTGATTAACTCGTCCTAAACAATCCTTTGCTTATGACAAATCTGGTGCAAAACCTTGACATATTGCTCATCAGCGACGCTTTCTTTCAGAATTTTCTAAATTAAATTAAAAATTAAAAATTATTAAATTTAAAAAAATAATTATTAAGCTCGCGACACAAACCTCTGGATCATCGGCATTAACGTGGAAGATCGGACATCCAACAACACGACCAACATCGGCACAATAAGGTGATGAACTAAATATAAATGGATTTACTTATTAGAAGGTGTAAAGTATAATGTGTCTGTTCACCTCAAATCTCGAATCCCAATGGAAACTTCATTTTGAATTTTCGAAGCTATAGAAATTTTTTGACGAAACGAAATGCAGATGTCTTGTGTTTGCTTATGTTTTACTAATGATCGGCTTGAACAATTGTGTTTTGACGCTAGAACCGTTAAAATGTTCGGTTAGAAGCAAGAGAAAGAATGTCATTTCATATCAATACAAACAAATACCGATGGTGGTGGTGAATCCAATTTGATTGTTGACGACAATGTGAATGCAGCCACTTGTTGTGTATGATGGCAAATCGTCCAAGTTAAATGTTTCCAATACGACTCCTTGGCCTAAAGTACAGCTATCAAGACAACTAGATTGTTTAAAGACCTGCAAAGGCGGTACCTCCGTGCAACATGATCGCCATTGTACGACCGCATTTGTGGTCGCCAGAGTAGAAAGCTTCGGCACGAACCTAAAACAAATTTGAATTGTTTGGTATTTTAGCATTCTATTTCTTTGAATCCAATATTCAAGACTTACTTTGCCCAAAACAACAGGATCCACATGAGATGGATTTGCCACAACTGCAATCCTGAAAAAATGAGCGTTATGTCACAAACAAAAGTATACACTTACTTGACATTCCTCTGGGGTTGCCGGTCGAGGTGCTCAATGCAAACTCCAAGATGGTATTTGACATCACCAAACCCTAAACAAATTAGTAGGAGAATCAATGACTTTGCTTTAAGATTTAGCTTCAAAACAAACCTTCATCAGCTGGTTTAAGAGTTGCAAATTGAGACAAGATGGTGGCAAGTGGTTGTCTGCAAACATTGGCGAGCAGATTCAAACGACCTAAAATTTATTCATTAGTAAAGTTAATCTATATAATTCAAACCTCTATGTGGCATTCCAATGACGAATGAGTCAACGCCAAGAGAAGATGAAGAATCAATCACCTAAATTTTGAGTCTTAAAAGGTCGCAAAATTCTTTTTAACTTGTTTGATGGTCGGGATCAACACTTCGCAACATTCGAGTCCGAATCGTTTCTCACTAGGCCATTACTTCGCTAAGAACTCCTCGAATTTCGTTGATCGAATAAGCCGTTTGAAGAGAACCTAAAAGCAACATTTAGTTTTTTCGCGTTATATTAACTAATCAACCTTTTTCTGATCTCGTGAAAGTTCAGTAACTCGTGGAGCTTCGAAACGACGTCGGATCCAGTCTTGTTGTTGGTAATTCGTCAAGTGCATATATTCCACACCAGTTCGGAGACAGTAAATGTCCTAAAGAAGCTAAAGTGATCATAAAAACATTCCTTAAAACCTTTAATCGGTCAATGATGTCCTTGAGTTTCATGCTCGTTGCGATCCTCCAATGTAGGTTGAAGGCGGGAGCACAAAGTCTCTGAATGGAATTATGAAATAGTCAATAAACAAGTTTTCGCACCTTTCAAGATCGTTTTCATTCAACCCGTAGAAGGAAAGCTCCAATTCGGGTGGAACAGTATCGTCAAGGTCAGCGCTGTTAATTCCAAGTGGATCGAGGTCGGCAACATTGTGTCCACGCATCTAAAATTAATATTTTATCAAAACAAAAATATTCCCTAGCAGTGCAAATTTAACCCTTTTAATAAAGTGAGCAAATGTACCTGATAGGAACGGATCAAGAGTTGAATCTTCAAATGATCGGAGATTGATTGGACTGAAGCTCCGGCGGTTGAAAGCGCCGTAGAAGCTGCACCTGCCGATGGTTGAGTGATGCCGGTGAGCGTCAAGCCTCCAGTTGGTGGAGCCTAAAACCACAGTGAAACTATCAACTAGTAAATTTTACTTGGAAAGCTTGCCCAGGAGCCGCTCCTTGTTCAACATTGCGAAAATACGCATCCCACGACTAAATATATTTCCTTAAAAGTATTAAATAAAAAACTTACCTTATGAACCGAATTTGGGTCTTCTTGCCAAGCCGCGTACATTTGTTCAATGTAAACTGAAGTCGAGCCATTCATGAAAGATTCGTGTTTCACAGAAGCTGCCGCTGACTAAAAAATTAAAGTTTACTACCATTTACAAAGACAAAAATAAAACACAACGCGTACCTGAGCACGTGCTTGATGTTTCGTTGAAGATTCCGGCTTTGTCAATTGAGTTGCAGCAATTGTAGTTCGAGTTCTGAAACAAATATTTACAAAATAGCTTGCATACTTGTACAAATTGTTTTCAAAAATTAACCTCGCCATAGCAGCAGCTCGAGAAGGGCTCGCAAGCCGGCAAAGCATTCCCGCTCGGTGCATTTTGGCACCTTTTACTCCAAGCTAAAATGTAAAAGATTAGAAACTTTAAAGGAACGTTAAAAAAGCATGACAACTAAAATAACAAAAATAGACACGTTCCGTCAACGTATTTTACACCTAGCACTAAAAACGACAAAACCGAAATAAGTACGTAGCCGAAAAGGGACTGATTTCGTTTAGCCCTTCTGGTCGAATTTGAAAGCTAATGAGAGTGAAATGCAAATCAGAACCTTATTCTTAGGAAATCGAATCGAGGTTAAATGACGAAAAAATATGGGGAGTCCCTTTTTCAACGCATGTGCTGCAAGGTTCTCTTTTTCTCTTCACCCTCCACCCGCTCGCCCTCATGAAAAGAAATCGATCGCTGGTCGAAAAAGTGGCCATGTGTGCAGAAAATGCGTCAAACACACAACCGATCCTCCCCTTCTCTTGGGCCATTCTCCGACAAAAGCCCAAGAACCCAACTCTTCCCGCACGTTTGAGTTGGTCAAGGAAATTGATTAGGGTTAAGTTTAACGGGGAATGGCTAAAGCCCTTATTTGCTAGACAGGATAGATCGAAACACGGTATTCGTCAAATCAAAAATAAACTTGCCCCTTCAAAACCGCAATTAGGTAGACAGAAAAATTAAGAAGCTCGAATATTTTTCCCTAGCCAGAATTTCCAAATACACCAGTGTATTTATAGGAAATCGGGGAGAATCAATGTTTCGTCAGCGATCTTTCTCTTTTGACCCCCCTTGTTTTGCTGGTTTGGCGCGCGGCACTTCGCGAAAAAGGCAGTGTTTTGAGCGACACGATTTAAACATGTTTATATATAAAGTGTGTTGATTTTGATGAGAAGATGGCAAAACAAAAATCCTGATGAATCATTTGAAACACTTGATCATCAAAAACCTCATTCATAAAGCTGCCAAAGAAACTTTCAAAAATTCGTGCTGATTAAATTTAAAAGATTCACCAAACGAATCAATAGAGGACCCTCAACTGCTTAGGTCATTGGGATCTCGAAAGTTTGAAAGCCGAAAGAAAACGGCAAAGACCAAGGAAGTTGAAAAGAGTGGCAGAAAGCGAGGGAAAACCAAGTGACGGTGAGTTCTCTGAGCAAAGAGAAACGATTACTCAGTCTTACAGCCACCGCTCGAAACAAGGGAAAGATAAGAATTGGATCGCTTTTATCACGTGATATTCAATAATTGGGCATTAACTACTTTCTCGAATTTTAACCACCCAAGTAAAACCTTCACGACCCAATTATACCATGAAAATCTCCCAACAAAAACATTCGTTCATGTTTTCAATCAATTCCCGATCCGTGTGCAGATGCGAAATCATTTATTAAAAAGCCGCGAGATAGGTTAGATTGAAAAACACAAAACACTTGTCGAGAGCGAGCGGCTGATAGAAAACGAAACATTAAACGAAATGAGTTAAATACACATGAACACAAAACATTTTCTCACAGTTGAATATAGAACACAAGAGTGTTAAAACTCGGAATCCACAAAAGAAAGCAAACTATTAATTAAGGTAGTGACACAATAATACAAGGTAAACGAGAAGTAAATTGGGCTATGATTAGACCGAGAATTCTTTTATTTCACTGAGTTGCTAGTGATCCTTGGCAAAGGGCAGCGAGTGCAACATTGAGATAGCCTGCATGAAATGCTCAGTGTTACCCTAAAAAGAAACATTCTATTTTGTCATATCGGCTATTCTCTAATGACTTGATTATACCTGTGGAATTGGAGGTGATGCGCGAGTCGACGACATAGCTGCAATGAGTGGGCTTGCATAATCCACCGGTGAGAGAGGGGATTGCAAATCCAGCAATTGTCTAAAAGCAAAAATTCTGCTAATTAAGAACACAACCAAACCTGAGCATCACATTCGACTCCTGACGAGTGGTTGTTGGTTGAAAGAGCGCCATCATCGACATCAGTTGATTCTGGTGAAGAATGTCGTTGACTTTCTTTTTCTCCATAGACATCTTAGTTGGCTTATCGCGTGGAGTGAAGGCTAAGGCTTGAGGCGAGATGATTCCACCAGATGGCAAAACATGAGGACGTGGAGTTTCTAAAAGATACAGTCAGGTAATTCGGGTAAACGATCGTTCATATGCTAGAAGATTAACGACTTAAAATACGGTGCGAGCCTATAAACATCCACCTTTTTTAATCTTTGATTCGCAAAAAAACTCACGCAAAGCATTTTTCGTTGCTGCAGTTGGACGATAAGTTCCATTGATGATCGAAAGTTCAACAAGTTGCTTTCGCTTCAGTTCATCCTTACCCTCGGGCTAAAAGTAAATTAATGGATTCACCATTAACAAACATACAGGGGATGCAACAAAACGTTGATCTTCTCGATGGCATTTCTCATCTTCTCCTCGACAAGGCTCTCGATGTCCTCACATTGAACGATGATGTGCAGGGGCTCCTAAGCAAATGATATTAGTGCAAAGTAATCATTTGACCGCAACTCTTTACAAAAAAGGAACTTATGCTGCCGTAAACTGAATTCAAGAACGTACTGTTGGTCCATGATTTCCTCGACCCCTCACCATAATCTTGCAGCCAGTTTCCTCTTCGAGTTGTCTAGCAGTCATGCCACGTGGTCCTAAAAATATATTTATAAGACTGCTTGCAGGAAGAACTTTTAAAAGAAAAAAAAACAAAAACTTACCAAGGATGCGACCGACGAAGTTGTACTTTGGATATTTGTCGACGGGCACCATGATTTTTCTCGACCAAAGTAACACGTCGCACCTCCTCCTTGTTCTTGCTGTTGTTGTTGTTGCCGTCTTGGCCACTCAGAATGCGAGCAATCTCTAAAACAAACAAGTAATGAAACAAATTAAAATCAACCTTACAGTTGATGGCACCATTCTTAAAGTTTCAATACAACTACGTACCTAACTTGTTTCTTTTTTGTACTTTCTACCTAAATGTATCTCAATACAACTCTCTAACCCTTTTTAATTCTTAAGACCAAAAACGATAATAACCACACCATCATTGATTAGCCGGGTCGTGTGTCTGAACTGGCCCTCGGGTTGCTTGAGACGAGTCTTTTCGTCGAGAAGCTCCACCAAGTAGGTGGGAAGTGTCGGCTCGTTTGTCGTGCTGGTGATGCAAGCAGTCGAGTCCCCATCGGCCAACTCTTTCTCGAGATGACTGCCGATGAGTGGTGCTGAAAAGCTACTCATCGCCTTGAAGTCGCCACCCGCATCCATCGGGATCAACATCTTGCTCGTCATTGTTAGAACCACAGTTGCTAGAATGAGAAACGTTAAACCAGGCGTAAACAAATCAAAAGAAGGAACAACAAAAATCTGGGGCACAAACGGGCTGGGGGCTTCGTTAGACTTAAACTTCACAAAACATGAGCAGTTTTCAACTTGCACCTTTGCAAAACAAGCTAGTTGTTCAAAACATCAAACGAAACTTAGGGTATACAAATCAAAGTTGGAAAGGGCGCTATATATGTGGCCTACCGTAATACCTGTAATAGTAGCGCCTCCCTTCCCTAATGATGTACAGTCACGTAGTCGCTGAAGTAAATAATTTTTTTGAATGCGCCTGGATTTTTCTAAAATAAACCGTTAGTATCAAAAAATTCTTCGCTTCAAGCGCCATCTTTCTTTTTTTCTAAGCGCACATTTTTCGTCGAAGCCGTGCGGAGAACCGAGCGTCACAAAATTGCGTGTTAGACTACGCGACTGTACGGGGAGGGGCGCTACTATTACTGATATTAGGGTAGTTATCATCGGCAAAAGGTGGAAATGGGCCAATTTTAGATGGCAATGTACAATCTCAACAAACAAATGGAATAGTAGCAAACTAGCGCGACAAAACTTTTCTCAAACTGACATTTATCGCAACTTTGCCTTTTGTCCGACGATCTATTGTAGTTCTTGTCTGGGGTATGGTATTTAGTGCATTTTAGTGTGCAGCTAAGTGCCAAAATGTGCGAATTTCGTGTTGTACTTTTTTCATGCAATGCAAAGAACTTTTATTTTTGTAAACATTTTAGAACAAATGAAAAGAAAACCCGTACAGCAGGCCACGTTTGGTGCTTCAAAAGGTGAAAACGTTAAAGAAATCAACAAAATGTACAAACATGCTAGCAATTAACGAATTCCTACGAAACACTCGATGAGATCGAACTAGTCGATGTTGAGTTGTAGTCGCACATGTCCCGAATCATGATCGAATGCTGAATATGGAAACTTATCTTCACTTTAGCAAGAGCTCCACCATTATATCGATACATTTTATCGTTTACAATTATTCTCTAGCTATCTTTGCGTTGAATAAAATGGATATTTTTGCTTCAAATCAGCTTTACCACATTTACGAAGTCTTTTTTGATGTTTTTGACCTCTGGATTAAAGTGTTTGCTGAATAAACAAACGAAAAATGTTTGGTATTGTAGAAAAACCTCGGATTTCTAGTCCAGGAATCAAATTTCCAGTTTACTATTTGTCTGTTCAAGTCAAATGCAACTCTTGCTTACTTTTTCGAATATCAAAATACAGTCTTGCACTTTTTGAATAGCTATAACTCAAGTATTGAATTTGAAAACTTAAAATGAAACCCCATTTCAATGAAAACTGATTCAAGTTTAAGCAATCGGAAAGCTTTTCACCTTTCCAATTTCATTTCCCTTCCTTTTCTTCCAGATCAATGAATGAAGATTTGAGAGAGTGCAAAGGAAAGATGGGACAATAACGAGACCATGTAATAGACCCAATGAGACAACCAGAAAGACAGTCTTCACGAATACCTGAAAATGAGATCACTTTGTTTGAGTTAAGGCTCACAAGGGAAGGTCACAAGGCTGAGATGGCCAAATGACCATACGACGCAGAATTTTATGCTGATTCCGATTCTGTTATCCGTTTTTGCAAAATGATTCGGAAATGTGAGGAATCTGGCAAACAAGTTTGAGGTCAAGAATCAGTCCCTGTTAACCTTTGACGACTTCTTACACCGCCTTGAAATATGAGCTTGTGGTGTAGTGGATAAGAGTCTTGTTTCCGAAACAAGCAATAAAGTCTTTGCGCTGGTTCGATCCCTTTCTTTTCTTTTCATTCTATTTTGATCTTTAACCGCAATTCGCTTTATTTTAACTTTACAATTGTCAGTTACTCACCTCTCCCATATAAGTCTTGATGCAAATCAAACAGAGAACGAATAAAACTGTCGATAGACCGCATTGAAGTAATGGAAAACCGATGGAAAGCAATGATCTGAGAAGTTTCATCTTTCTGTCATTAGAAATTTGAAGTCATTAGGCCAGGATATCTTTTCAGAGGCAATTTGGAAGCGCACCATTTCTGGCACACTCAATCTTTGAGCTTTTACTTTGAAATAAATTGAGTGCACCAGAAAGGATGCGTTTACCCTTTTTAAACACAAAATATATATCATAGAGCTTCTAAACGAACTTTCAGGGATAGTCGTGCTTTGATTGATTGATTTTTTTTGTTGATTCAACTTAAGATTTTGCTAGAACTATACTCAATGGCCTCGATTCTATAGCTTTGAGCCTAATCTTCACTTAATGGCCAATCCTTGGACTTAAAAATAAAATATTTTCTGTTTTCTACAAGGATTTAGATTTCAAAACGAAATTCTCAAGATTTAAAACAAACCTTGCAATCCTCTCAGCCGGTTTAGAATCCGGATGTTCTAAACCCTCACGGTGGAAATGGAAAGCAATATGTGCTGGGAAATCAACGGAGAATCCAATGGACCTTGAAAATGAGGAAATTACATATCTAATGATTCTATATCCTTGAGCCTAATCTTTATTATACTCACATGATCAAACACGACATCGAAATCGGGTCCAAATTCACATTCCAAAGAGCTAGAAAGCCGAAAACACCTAATTTTGAGGAATGAAAAGAATTTGTGAGCAATAATACCTAGACAAATTGATATGATTGAGAGGGTGGCGATGATGATTGTGAAGAGAGAATTCATGAAGAGAAAACAAATGACTAGCATTGTGATCAAAGTGACCAGTGAAGAGCTTAGAGTTGCCGGCACCATTGAATCAGTCTAGAGCATGATGTACAAATCGAATAGGAAACAAGTTTGGCTTGGTGGATATAACGAAAAATCAATTTTTCTGCACAAATTAGGAAACAGAACTTGTTTCCCCAGCAGATTATATTAGAGTAAGCTCCTCCCTTTTCTAAAAGGCATCTATTTCTAAGCCGACAGTCAACTTAAACAACACTAAAATCACCTGATCTACGAAAGCGCAGAAATCATCGAAGATGCTTGCGTTCAGCGCCGGGAAACTGTCGACAACCTTTCGCCATCTTTCAAGCAGCTCTTTTCGAACCTAGAACAATCAAATATTCTTCTTTATCCTCTACTCTCATTACTTCAGTACAATATTTTCATTTGGATACGACCTTTCTATTCTATTCATGGTAAGACAATACAAGTTTCTTTTGCAATTTCATTCATCATTTTTGAGATTTCCTACCATTTCCAACCATTCTTACTCATTAATCAACAAATTTTCTACTAACTCACATTAAATTCTCCCAGCTTCTCACCGTGAAAAGAAACAGTTGCCATGAAGCGATCCAATCTGAATTCTCATCTTTCTAAAATTTCTCAACTAAACCAAACCTATCCTCATCATTAAATTTGATGAAACCAGTCCAATGTCTGAACTCAGGCCATTCCAGGAATCCCTTCATCGCTTCTCTCGTGAACGGATCTTTCACCATCAAATTCCCCTCAAACTCCTCTTCTCCCAAGAATTCCTCGTTTGCACTTTCCTAAAGTTTTCTTATCTTTAAAACAAGCTTCCCTCATGGTCGACTGGCTAAGAGACCTGTATCTTAGACAGAAGGGCAACGGTTCAATCCGGGGCAGACTATTAGTACTTTCTTTTCCATATATATTGCTCTTTTCTTTCTATAGAGCTTAGGGGTTGTGCTTGTGTATTGTTTGACCACATTATTAGTGAATAAATGTATGTTTTTAAAAAGTATTTTTTACTTGAAATATCCGATAATCTCTCATCCAATAATGTGTTGTTTCCGGGCCGATCGCCTCAGGAAATGACTCGAATGTTGAGATCAAGTTATCAGCCATTTGTAAACGATCCGGTGATGAGAGGTTGCCAGCCTGAAAATACTGCACTTTCGCAAACGCAAGTCATCTGGCATAATCTGGCATTTTTTAAAAAAGCAGTAAGCACAAAGTATGAGTCTAAATTTTTATCCAATTCACTTACTCGATTCACCAAAACGATGACCGTCGTGTAGTTTGGGAGCACCCATTGTTCTCGGAGGTTTTCTATCTGAAATGATTTGTATTGGTTTAACAATTGCATTGAAATGAGAATCTATTAGGGTGGTGCAAAAGAAGCTGCCGATTTGACGGTAAATTAAAAAAAAAGATGGCGTTCGATGGTGACATGATCGCAATGGAATATTTTCGCAAGATCTCGAGCAGATTGGCATGGATCGGCCTGAATAACGTCCCTCAGCTTGGCTTCGTTCACGACTTCTGGCCTCGAACCGTGCTTGCAATCTTCCAAAGCCTCATCTCTCTCTCGGAATCGTTGAAACCAAGTCTGACACTGCCTGAGAGACAAACTGCCATCTCCGAAAGCAGCACAGAGAGAACGATGCGATTCGGCAGCAGACAGCAGCAGACGGCAGCAGACAGCAGCAAACGGCAGCAGACAGCAGCAGACGGC